AAGATTTGAAGAAAGAAAAAAAAAACATACAACTCACAAAGAAAATGTCTATTTACTGCAATACCTAGGTGCAGCTTCCACCTCAAACCAATTCTGCTACTCTAGCAGGACACCTGGAAATCTAGGTTACCCTCCCTGGGATTAAATCAGACTAATTTAAACCCATATTACACATCGTGAAGCCAACTGCAGCCTTGCAAAAATGGCTGTTTAACAACAATAGAAATGATGTGTTCCACTTTAGAGTGTCAGATGTTTTCTTCAGTCAGGAGCATGAATTGTGTTTTTGTATTTATCTATGCAGCATGCATGTATCATTCGTCTTTCTGTCTCGCTTCAACAGTATTGCAAAAATAATTATTGTGAATATGTTTTGAAGGAAAAAAATGCATTTAAGCATACAAGTTTTTGCATGAATACAAAGATAACATACAAATAAACATAAAAGTAAAATAAAAAAAATGTAAAAACAAAATTCTTACATATTCAGAGTCAATAACAGCAGACAAATGACAAGTTTGTGATGAAATGATAGAGGAAAACTCAGAAACGATGTGATCAGTATGTACTTTTCTTCTCGCGGTTTCTGGTTTATATTCTTTTCTGGGATTTAGGAACAGATTTTTAGCTGAGTTTCAAACACACTACATCTTTCGATTCCTCCAGCGTGTTTGAGTTTGACAGTTTTCCACCGCTCACGTGGGAGGCAGAAAAAAAAAAAAAAAGCGTCACCCGTGGCTCTCTTCAGCATTCTTTGCGAGGGCAGGGGTCTCGACCAGAAAAGCAGACTATGACACTGTCTGAGTAACAACCATGCTGTAATAAGAATTGATTTCCATTTAATGGACTAATAACAGTTTAATCCAGTGCTTCTTTGGCCTCCTCGCCTCTGCCTTGGAACTGCTGTGAAAACAGAAATGACTTTCACATTTGAGCAAAAGAACTAGGCGATCTTTTCTGATCTCGGAGGAGAGGAAATTTGTCCTTTTCAATGAATCACTAAACGCATAAAGTAGTTGAGCGCTTTGACGTAGTCAGCTGAAGGGCAGACGTATTGTTGTTTTTCTTTTTTCTTTTGCGTTTGGTTTTAATGTTTCTCCCATCACGAATGGTATTACGTGTCTGTATCTTAGTAATTCACTAGATCCAATGAGAATCAGAGTAAACAGGATAATAATGTCATGAGAAATGTGCTGTCCTTCAGAAACAGTTGATGACAAAAGTGGCCAATTTTGGTCAGGAGGAAGTTAACAGCAACAAATTTCTGCCCAGACTACAGGCAAACATAAATCCATTTTTCATTTTTGCCCACAGGGTAATCGATGATGGGGGTGACGAGACAACAGCACACCCTGAATGAGCAAGGGTACTCTGAAAGGTTGAAAGTAGCCTGCTGGCTCATTTAAATTCAGTCTGCTAAACCCAGAGCCTTCCGCATTCCTACCGAGTTTCTACACCACAGGGACAGCGAGCTGGCACTTTAAACATGTTTTTTATTATGCACTGCATATTGTAATAGCCCTCAGAACAGCACAGAGTCCTAGATCTTCATTAATTCATATCAACTCTGCAATCGCTATAAACTTACTGGATGGTACTGGTGGATGTAGGACTGTGGTGGTCCGACATCTACCAAGGATGCATTTTGCAGGTGCTGTAGGTAACACTTTGCAGAATGAGATTACAGTAAGAATCTGGAGTTTGCTTTATGTACATAGCAAGAACAAAACCATTTCTAAGAATCAGGTTGAAATTTCACTGAGGTCTACAGGTGTGTTTTGTTTTTTTTAAGGTACAAATATTATTTAAATTGTTGGGTTACTAAATGTGTTTTCTTAGAGTTTCATTTCTAGAGGATTTTACTACCTCTAAAAACTTCTACACCAAAGAGTGTTGTACTAATTCACAAAGGAAAACAAAAATTGGACTTTATTTCTGTATGGCTGGTCCTACCCTGTACATGGATACATATTTCATTGTCTGGTTATGTAATTTATGACCTTTTAAAGCACCCATTTTGGTTGATTTGCTGATGAGGAGTGATTTAGGTAGAACTTTATTTGGCTGAAAAGCAATCACTGTATTTGCAGGCCCGCCACACAAAACACAAAAACTGAATGTCCTTTGTTGTATAAAAGTGTGTTTAAATCAAACAGGAATATATTTGGGGTTTAGAATGCATTTGAGCTTAGTTGTCTTTTCTGATTTTATAATTGTATTATCACCTATCTGTTAACATGTCGCAAATAGGTGACATGTTAGTAGCTTTACTAAACAGTGAGATAATAAACAGATTCTTAGAGTGCATTAGTATCATCTATATTTACCTATTCATCTCTAAAAAATAACAATATCTCAATTTCAAACCCACCCCGTATTTTACGACTTCCAATTTTTCTTCTTGTTCTAAAGTGACAAGTGAATGATACATAAATTACACACACAAAAATAAAAAAACAACAACAACATGACAACCAAGCTGCCAATTGACACTTATTAAGATCCATGGATTGATGCTAAAATAATATTTTGCATGTATGAAGGAGAATTTTAAACTACAGTGCTAATGGGAGAGAACCTCAGTGATACTGTGGTATGTCCATGACCTTGACCATGACCAGCTGTGTGTTCGTCCTGAAATAGGCTTTTTCAAGCTCTAATTATTCTGCCAGTGTGAACTTGAGCGAACTACAGAGATGAAGACGGAAGGAAGTTGGTGATAAAGTCGCTCATTACTGCTCCACTGAAGCATCAATGCTGATCTGTGGCTACTTTTTAGATTGGCAGTTTTGTGTAAAAAGATATGAAATTGTCTCTGAATGGAGCAGTGGATTACTGACACATGACTTTTTTTTTTTTTTTTCCTGTGAATGCTCCTTGAATATTTATCTTGCATAGTAGGAAGCTTTCTATATCCCATGAGATAAATAGCTTTTCTGGAAGTTTGTTTAAAGTGAGTCATGACAGGAAGGCACTTCATCAGCTTCAACTTGCTATCGCCATAGCAGCTTCACTGTTTCAGCCAGCCATGAATTATGCAGCAGTCACAGTATGTGTGGCATGTGGTGAGTGGGCAGTCCACAGATTCTGGGATCAGGACTCCAAGAGTTGGTGTGATTAACATCCAAGAGATTCTCCTCTGAAATCATTAAGATTGCTTCAGTACTTTTAGTTAACTGCAGTGGACAGTTAACCAATGCATTAGTAAAGTGATAATTAGCAATGTGGTGATGAGATGCAGCTAATTTGATTGGTCTCTGACACTGGAACTTCTGATGTTTGCTGATTGTGTGCAATAAGCTTTTCTTTTAAAATACTAAAATAGAAACAATCCCAGTACAAATTTTAAAATGCATCGGAAGATCTAACTACTGTCATTTTAAAATAAACATTTCAACAAGAAATGCTATATTTCCGATCAATAAGTAATTGTTTCAATGATCCGTATGTATACTTGGACTCACTATAATGCTGAAGAATGAAATTCCTCTTCTGTTTTCTTGCAGACAAGTAAAGCCGTTTCTAATTTTTTATAACTTCATCCACTTTGACACACGCTTCAGCAAAATCTAACAAGAGCAGCCCCAAAGCATAAATAAGTCTGCAACCACATTATTTATCACAATTTTCTCCATCACAAAAATTTTCATTTTACCAGGGACTTGCATTTCTGAACGCCGTTGTCTCTGCATTGACCCCACATAGTGATGACACAAACTAACTTAAGTATTTTGAGTGAATCCATAAACATATTAGACTTCCAAAAAATGTTTACAATGTCCAGTAGTGCATTAATGATAACTTCATGTTGTATTTGTTTGTATGTATTCTTGCTTTGCATGTATGAAGGAGGGCTTCATACATGTCGTTGAGTATGTCAAATAAAATGTACTTATAGATTTTGAAAACAAAAACTGGTGCAAGCCTAGTTTGCTATTCTTTTCATTTTCATCCTCATATCAAATTAAATGATGTTTTAAATAAAATTCTGATCTCTACAATTTCAAATCAGACTGCAATCTTGAGCTGCATGAATTGTTTTAAAGATATTACATGTCTTTAAAGCTGTTATTATTATGCCCTTCTCAGATGTCATGCATATATTTGATAATGAGACTATGCACAGTGCATGTAATTTGTAATATGAAAGTCTGATTCAATTCACATGTCCAGAACATACAAAACAGTGCAACACAAAATAATGAAGCTTGTGCTGAACTGTCTTGAACTAAGGTCCAGTAGCTGCTTTTATGAAGTATCTACAAGTGCTGAGTTACATAAGGCCCATTCCCACTGAGTACAAACCTGATTCAAAAAAGGACAATGATGAGCACAAGTCCCGTCTTTGAAAAAAACAACAATAATAATAATAAACTATTTATTGAGTAGTGAGAAGCTGGAGAATTTGGCTTTGGAAAAGCTCAATTTTACAGCTGAAGACATTCGTCTGTTGGCAGTTTCTCCTTGTCAAATTTCAGGACAAATGTAATGTGGTGCCAGCAAAATAATTAATGACTGAAATGTTTGTAACACTAAATTAGGAAATCATTCTGAGGTGCATTTGGCATATAAAAAAAGGAAGAAGAAAAAAAACAAAAAAAACAAGAAGGCATAAATTTGTTGTCGTACAGACATCTTGTATTTAATAGGTGTCATGCTTATCCAAGCTGTTCCTAAAGTGTTTTTTTTTTCTTGTTGATACAGTCTTAAAGGCACAATGAAATTCTTGGTGACAAGAATTTCAAGGAAATATTCTATATCAACTAATTGTTTTATGTTGGGTATTATTCTGTCTTGTTCTACTAACTTACTTTCTTCTCTCTCTCTCTGAGGTAGAGTGCTGCGCTTCTGCTGTCTGTCACTATAACGCCGCAGCCGAAGGTGCTGTGCATCCAACCTAATCCGACTTTTTGTGATTTCACCTCGCTAGAATTTACAAGCCCCATTGCACATATGCGTTTTCTCACCCGGTGCCAAAGAACACTAAATGATTCACTTACCTAGCCAGTGTTCTCCAGTGATTTTGCCAAACCCTTCACGGTATGACTCCCATCCCCTGAAGAAGTTAACCGAGCCGTCCTCCCTGCGCTGAATCACCTAAATGATCGAGACAGCAAGACGAGAGACAAAGAGGTCAGATGGTTTTTCATCTCACACAGAGCGCTTCATCATCCTTTATGATGAGTCATTCTCTGTCCCACTGATCGTCGCTAAGCTCAAGTAGAACTAAACTAAATGAACTCATAAATGCTTGCTCTTTCGCTAATGAATAATGCAAACGCTCTCTCCGCTAAAAAGGCAATTTGTTGGAAGCTAATAAAGGGAATCCATTAAATCTTGACTGACTTTGAAACAAATTGCCATAGAATCTGCATACTTTTGAGATCCCAGAACAGAGATTATATTCATAAAACAATGATTCTGAACACGCAGACACACACAAATACTTCAGTAGGAGGCAAAAAAAAAAAAAAAATGCAATTACAGGCAAATAGCGGATTTTGCTTTACCCTGTGCACATGCATCGGCCTCTCCTATTAAAATATCAACCAAAACTGCTGACGTGACAAGCTGATGAAAGGAAATGAGAAACATGTTCCTCAAGAGGAAAATATATGAATATAACTGGGAAGCTACGATTAGAGGGGTATGCAAATGTTTTAAAAGCAAACGAAATTCCTTGAGACAGCGCATCTTCACCATGAATAATCCCCTAACATTCCAAAAAGCACCAGATGGCACAGACAGACATTTTTCCTTTCAACATCTGCACCGACAAAGAAATCCAGCTGAGCAACAGCAATTATCCACATTACCCCCTTATCCCACGTAACAGTCTTTTTCTGAAATATGTTAATCATCATTAATCCACATCATCTTCATACATGTAGCTTTTTTTTGTCAACATAAAAGGAATGTGAATTTTATATTCTTTTTATTTCATTAAAAAATTATTGTCTTCTATCCTTTATTTTCACCCTGTCATTACAAATGTTGGAATTGGAAGAAATGGGGATACACAGGCGACATCCCAGCATGTTGCCTAACTTCAATTTGCTGGACTTCTGAGGAAGATGCATCCCGTGTTTCTGGAAGTAGTGTGGATGACGATGTGCAGACTTAAAAAAAAAATACTGTGATTGAAGTGACTGAATACCTAAATTGGATGGGTGATCAAATATATTTGGTAATATAGTCTACATACACGTTAAACTCCACAAACTACAACCCCTTTGTTTTTTTCTGGAACGGGAACCAACCAACTAACCAACAATTTTCCAGAACAATTTATACATTTTCAATGGGATTAAAATCAGAGCAACTCCAGATATATATTTATCCAAATGTTTCAATGCAGAAACCATTTTATGGCTATGTGGGATTATTTGCCTGTTTTGCCAACACAACTGTATTGCTCGATGGTGTAGCTGTTGGATTGGCGGTAACTTCAAAAACTTTTGAGGAAGTAGATCCACCTCTTTCAGAGTACACAGTACTAATGGTTGCAATCAGAATTGTTTTGTGCTTTCTCACCTTTCTTCTTGTGATTGAGACAAAACAATTTAGTCCTCCCCTCTTCCTGACTCTGTGTTTATAATTTTATTAAGTCCTGCTGGAAAAAGTTTGCAATAAATCTATTCATGTACACTCAATCTCGTTTTTGTGGTTCTATCTTGTAGGAGGCCACCAAGAGAAGAGAATAGCTCATATGCATAATTAAAAGCCTGAAATTAATATTACATTCGTGCTTATGATACGTTTGTCTAAATCTCTGATAGAAACCACAGGCAGGCTCTGGCTTAATCTTGTCCAACATAACAAAAAGAAAGTAAGAGGACGTGAAAAAAAAAAAACTATCTCTCTCAGCGGACTTCAAATAACGTGGTGAATTCAAGGTGCAATAACGTTACCATCCAGTCTGTCAGGATTATTGTTCTTGTTGTTGTTCGCAGTTAAAACTCCTGAAAACTACAAGACAGTTTGGTCCTGGTGTGTTATATTGCTGCAGTTGAATTTTAAGATTATAGACAACAAAGGAAACCTTGTGCAACCCTCGAAGATGCCACAGGGCTTTGTTAAAATAGCAGTGGTTCATGCATTGGGGTAAAACCAGGTTTTAATGACCTGTAAAGAATAGTCACTTGGCTTACAAAATTCATGTACCACCAATAAAACAACAAACAAAACCATGTGCCTCAGTGTAGCACACCGACTGCCCAGTCACATTTCTCTTTACTGCGAGAATATAACCTGAAGGACATCGCTCCTGCTGTTGCATTGAAGTGACTGTGCTTTATTGAGCATTTACTGTTTGCTGCAAAACTATAAATGCTCATTCTAACATAGTTATCCTCACTTAAATAAGGTGCAACAAAGAGTTTAATCTGAAAGAGGAGGTGAAATCAAAAGTTGAAAGGCTTACAAAAAGGTTGTTTACAACCACTAGCGTTTTGTTCTTTAAATTGCAATCAAATGCTATTATTCAGCCCCCACTAATAAGGTTTGCAGTGGAATGGCTGCAGTGATGTCAATCCGCCATTCCTTTGTTGTGGAAATCTCATGAGGCCACCAAAGGCTAGCAAGCAGACATAATGTCTAGCCCACCTGTTCCTTTTCACAGATTTATTGTGTCAAGTTTTTTTTTTTTTTGTTTTTGTTTTTTCTACACATGATTATCTAAGCAGAAAATAAGACTTTCCTAAAAACAATGAGGCAACTTTTCTGCCTTCAAGCAATGGCCCTTTCTATCTTACTACCTGCTTCCATTTCACCCTCCTGCGAAATGTCCTCTGTCTGAGCTGACAGAAGAGAAAACTATTTTATAGTTAAAATGACATTTTCTTTCAATACGTCTGCAACTATTTCTCTCTCCACCTCTGGTTCTCAAAGTATCAAGTTTAAGAGGCAAAATCATATAATGTGTCAGTGAACATATAAAAGGAAATAATGTCATAGAACACTTTCGGAAGATGATCCTGGATTATATTGCAAGAGGAAAATACCTCGATATGACAGCGTGTATTGGACAAAAATGCAGATGAGGAGTCAAATCTGCAAATTAGACATAAAATAAAAGTCCTTGCATTGGACTGGATACTCAGCCTAGAAATGAGCTCTGGGATTTGAGTGTCATAAATAATCTTTATCTCAACAAGCAAGTGAGGATCATTTGAGAAAATGATTAATATTTTTCCCTCTGAATTACCCCAGTGTGTACAAATGACTGGTTGTCATGGTAACGTTAGGCGTGGTAGATATGAATGCCTTGTAATGATTTCAACACCATATGCCAGAAAATGGAGTAAAATTAGCTTTCAAGTTCACTTTTTTTTTTAAGTAATTGATACCATAGAGAGGCTGCAAAAAACAGAATGTTTGTAAGTATTATGTCCAGCTTCTTTATAAATATCTTAATCAATTATTGTTGATTATCAATAGATCAAGTATTTGCTCCACTGGCATATTTTTTTCCCTCACAATTATAAATATAAAATCCTTGTAAGTAAAAAAAAAAAAAAAAATCAAATCTCTATTTAAGAATTATTGACTAAAAACAAGCTCTTGTATTTAGCTCAAAAGTAACTTTTCACTGAATTTTGCCTTATTTCAGGTGTGCTAAAATATTTGAAATCTTTTGTAAAAAGATGCGTATGATTCAATACTCATGGATGTTTATTGGACATGTCCTATTAAAGATTAGAAACCCTCTTTTCATGTTAGCTCTAGATTGATAATCACCATATGGATGTCTCTACCTGAGCTTCATTTGACTTGAGTACATTTCAGAACTAAATATTTTTTTCTTGCTTTTAAGCTAACGTCGTTAAAAACAAACTTTTGGTTTGTACAAACAGGTACCAATCCCAGTTAAATTAATTAAAAACTTGATTTTAATTGGCATTGACCCATTTCTACTTTTCATTTTAGATTTTGATTGCATATTTATGTTTCCGGTGGGATAAATATAATACCTTATTAATTTAAAAAAATAATCCATGGCGGTTACAAGCAGATTTCTTATGTTGAATATTCTGTACAAAATAAATATATCCGGGCCGTCGGGTGCTGCAAGCATACCGCAGGCAACCCGTAAACGCGGCCATCACTGGCTCAAGTCCCGGCCCAATGACCTTTGCCGCATGTCTTCCCTCTCTCTCACAACCCACTTTCCTGTCTGGCCACTCTCATGGCCACTAGAGCAAATAAAACCTGACAAAAAAAAAAGAAAATAAGATATTTAATATCCATCTATCTCTATGCGTGCTTATACTTGCAGGATTGCAGAGAGGACCGATACATATCTCCGGAAATCAATCCGTGAGAGGTGGGGTACACCCTGTTCCCATTCATCACAGGGCAATAGAGAGAGGACAAACCACCATACTTGCAAAGATTTACTCCTAAAGTCAATTTTCAGTAATACATTAACCTCGCATGAATATTTTGGACAATGTGAATACCCACAGCTCGTGCGTTTACAGAGTTAGGAAACGTTCACCAAATTCATATTAGAGAGGACAAACTGGACTTAAAAAAAATATTTTTTTAATGCATCTGTTCCATAGGCACGCCAGTAATCAAAGCTGAATAGTTTGCAATAACCTCAGTTCATACTGCTCCAACATGTTAATACTGACATAAATTGACTCCTGGATAAATATGTCCAAAATGAGAATATACCAATGGAGCAAATTGTATATTCAAAAAAATATACAATTGTGACCAACTACTCACTCTGTGAATATATTGCTAGTATATAGAGGATATTGCACTGTGTGCAACTTCTCTTCTGTTTACCTCATTATTCTTGATAACATATTTCTTTAGAAAGACTCTCTGGCTATGTACAGTCTTTGTGCATGACTTAAGCAATTACAGTTTCTTTTTTTGGGTGGGGTAGGTGGGAATGGGGTGAGGGGTACTTCAAATTATCCTTTAAATGCATTCAATGTGTTTCATGTCTTTTAAAATAATGTATCCATCTTCATGCTGTTTTGATCTGCTTGTAGGGACTCATACCCCTTAAATCAAATTGAAATCAGACTTTGGAGGACCTCCCAAACTAAAAACTTGTTTCAATAAAAGACATTCTGACA